CAAGCCGCTCACCTTACAAGGAAAATAACAACAATCATACTACCAAGAATTCAAACTTCAGCAGACATGGGTAAGTAAGTCTTATAAATCTGTTCTAGCCAACTGAAAAGAAACCATAAATTTTGCAATTCTTTCACATTCAGGACAGTTGTGGTCACAAGATCAGAGGCACTGAGACATGAAGAAAAGACCCCCTAAAAAGGGAAAGCATTCCTTCCTGCCCTAGGACATCCCTGCCAACTTCAGGGAGGTGGGAACCCTGCTGCACTCTCTACAGTATGTGTTGCTTTTGTGTCTAGAAGGTGTCTGACATCCTGGGACCTGGATCCATTTCAGGGAGCTTGAGAAGAGCCTGAATCACTGATGGAATTGTACAGTGCTTGGAGATGGTTCAGCAGGACGAGGGTAAGTGCAGAAGTACGGCCAGGTCATACTGAGAGACAATGAGTGGCACTGATGGGGACAGACAAAGATGAAAAACAAAAGTTTGTGCTTCAACTTCAGAAACTCAAACCAATAACTAATTTACTCTTATAAGTAATAAGAAGCATTTTTCTATTTACATGAGAATTTAATCTCAAAACAGAAATCAGAAAAAATATTAAGTCCAGGGCGTAAAACCTAAATCATAGCTTATATTTATTCATTCTAAATAGAGCTAACAGTAAAATCTTCTCCATAAAACATATATTGTGGTTATAACAAGGCAAAAGTCTTAATGAGAAGAGTGAAATAAATACAGCCAAGGGAAGACCCAGGTGTCATACTTCTCTTGTATATTCCAAAGTTCCAGTGAAATTCCAGGTAATAGAGGTTATTTCCCGCACTGTTAAAGCGAGGTTGCAGACACTTCTGAATTTTGTCCCAGTGCTGAAGGAGGGCACACCTCTGTCCTGGAAAATGATACAGGGATGAATGATCTTCCCATGACTCATTCTGGTCATTCTTCCAGCATCACAGAAACCAAAAAATAGGAATACGGCCAAATACATGATTTGCTATCCCTCTTCTTCAGGTTTCTTACCTGTGTCTTACGGAAAATAACATTGCCTTAAGGATTATGATGAAAATATGATAACCAAGTATGTGTACAGTTTTGAACAAAATGCCTAGTATGAACTGGTCAATAAATAATTTTGTGACTACTGAATTACATGAATTCTATAAATAATTACTGAATAGCTTTTGTGATTCCTTTTTTTGGCAGTGCTCAAAATTCATCCCTGTATGACCTCAAGTAAACCATGTAACGTTGTGAACCTGCAGTTTCATCATTTTTAAAATGAAGAAACTAGACAGATTTTCACTCTGACACAGAATGTCAAGTCTCTGAGACACCAGAGAATAGATAAATTTATAGCCTTTAATACATCTCAAACCACTGTCATTACACAGTGTAGTTGGAGGATGGTGCGGGCTGCTACGAGGAATGCTTTCCAATGGGATTGATCCAGTCCTCCTCCCTTCACTTCCACATGAATGTTGGGTAGCCCATGGTCACACTCATCACGCCCTCAACTCAGGCAAGTCCAGCAGCCACACTTAGGAGATCTGGGCTACAGGACAAATTCCCAAGTCCTAGCCTCAAAAAACCTAGTTGAGGATGGAAGCTGAGAAAGTGAGGAGGTGGTTCGGGGGAGCACGCTCCCCTACTCGTCCCTCTCATCTCAAACTCACCTTCTGCTGCACAGGAACACGGAGGATCACCAACCACACCTGATAGTGAGCTTGATCTTGCCAGGTTCTGTTACTGGAATGCAACCACACATCAACGGTGTTAGAGCAACTCAATATATACATATGTATATATCCAATAATATTCTCTGAGAAGCATTCAAGGCCGTGTTCTTTTCAATATATGGGAAAACCAAAAACAACAAAATAGCCTCAGGTTTACAAGATTTCCCAAGATACATGGTCATACATGTTTTCAGGGGATATGTACAAATGATTTTGATCACTTAATACCTTGAAAAGAGCTCTTGTGGGACCAGAATGATATTTGTAAGTGACAAGTATGAAACGAGTGTTCAGTGACACTAAAAAACAAATCAACCTACACATAGAGGAAGAGCTATGGACACAGGGATGTGAAACTGGTCTTAAGTGTAATAAAAAGCCAAGATGCTGCCCCAGTAAGAGAAAAGAAATCAACATAACAATGGGATGCAGCAAGAGGAATAATGATCCAGGAGAGAAAATATTTTTAAAAATGAATTATTCATTCACTTTTCAGTAGCTACAGAAAAAAAAGCAGAAGACCCAGGGGATATCACAGTCTAAAACTCTGATATCTTTCACATGTGGAAAAGCCTTAGGATCTGATTCAACTTAGAGAAGGTGGACTGATTTTGTGACTACCACTAAGAAAATACAAGCTTTTGGGAAACTACCTCTACCTTGACGATTTTATACACACAAGGGATGAGCAATGAGGAATATGCTTAGATGTATTGGGAA